GAAGTTTTCAGTGAGGAGAGAGCAGATGAGCTTCCCCCCCCCCCCGACCCACAGACTGTACCATTGAATTCAAGCCTGGGGCAAAACTCCCGAAGCCCAGATTATACTCCATGAGCCCAAAGGAGAAGGAGGAAATGGAAAGATTCATTAAAAAAACTAGAGAGAGGTTTCATTGAGCCAGCCAAGCCTAAAGTGGCTGCCCCGGTCCTTTTTAGAGAGAAGAAGGACAGCTCTTTATGCTTATGCATGGATTATAGGGCCCTGAATACAATCAGTGAAAGCAACCTATACCCTCTGCCCCTCATGAAAGACATGCTGTCACACCTCTCGAAAGGGAAAATTTTTTCTAAACTAGACCTAAGGGAAGCATACTATTGCGTGAGAATTAAGGAAGGGGACGAATGGAAGACTGCATTTAACTGCCCCATGGGGTGCTATCAATTCAAAGTCTTGCCATTTAGATTACAAGGGGGCCCTGCAGTCTTTATGCAATTAATCAATGACGTTCTAAGGGAGCACCTGTTTAAGGCGGGTCCTTGTTTACTTGGACAACATTCTTATTTTCACCGAAACAAAAGAGGAACATGTCAACCTTGTCAGAGCGGTTTTAAATAAGCTGCGAGCCGCCCACCTATATGCCAAACTCTCAAAATGCGAATTCCACCAAGAAAGGATAGACTACCTAGGTTATCGCATATCCCCCAGGGCATTGAAATGCACTCAGAGAAGGTCAGAGCAGTATTAGATTGGGTACCACCCCGCACAAGAAAGCAACTACAAAGTTTCTTGGGCTTTGCAAACTTTTACCACCAATTCATCCCCTCATTGGCCCAGATAGCCTTGCCCCTCACTAACTTACTAAAAATGAATGGAGTATCCTCAGTAAAACCTAGCCAGCCACTAACATGGACAATGGAGTGCCAAGCAGCATTTGAGAGACTAAAGAGACTTTTTTCTGCCGAACCAATACTAAGACACCCAGACATGGACAAGCCCTTCGTAATACAGGCAGATGCAAGTGATGTGGCAGTGGGGGCTGTTCTATTACAAGAAAACAATGATGGAGTATTGCAACCCTGTGCATATACATCCAAGAAACTCACGGAAACAGAACAGTGCTGGCCCGTATGGGAGAAGGAGGCATATGGGATATGTTGGGCATTACTCACATGGCGACAGTTCCTGGAAAGCAACAAAATCCCCTTCCAGGTGTGGACTGATCACAAAAATTTGGAAGCCCTGAAAACGCCCAGGAAACTCAATCCCAAACAAGCCCGCTGGTCCCAGCATTTTCACCTGTTCCAATTTAAGCTCAAACATTTACCAGGAAGAAAGAACTTGCCTCAATATAACAGCGCACGAACCACAGACTCTAGACCAATAATGGCAGAGTCATAACTGGCAGCACCAGTAACCACAAGAACCCAAGCCAAATTAAAACCACAACTGGACAGCCAAACTGGAATTGAATTCAGAAAAAGTTTGGAAACAGATGAATGGTTCCAGAAAAACGAAAATGTGTGCACAATGAGAGACGGGTTGCCTTGGGTAGGGGAAAAGTTATATATACCAACAGCCCAAAGAGTCACTTTCATGCAGCTTTGCCATGACACAAAATCAGCAGGGCATTTTGGATTTGTAAAAACTTTACACTTAATTAAACGGCAATTTTGGTGGCCATCCATGAAAAAGGACATAGAAAGTTATGTAGCCAGCTGCCCAAAATGTGCAACTGCAAAGAGGTTGCAAGGGAAATCGCCAGGACTATTACAAACAGTGGCAAGTCCTTCAGCCTCCTGGAGAGAAATAGCCATGGATTTTATAGTGGAATTGCCAGAAAGCAATGGGAATACTGTGGTCTGGACGGTCACGGACTTGTTTTCCAAACAGGTACACTTTATCCCTTGCCAAAAGATTCCCACTGCAAAAGCCTTAGGAAAACTTTTCATCCAGCACATTTACAGATTGCATGGGGCACCCCAACGCATCATCTCTGACGAGGGGGTGCAATTTACGTCTGCATTTTGGAAGGAATTTTTATCCCTCTTAGGAACCACTCAGGGACTGATACCTAGCCACCACCCACAAGGAAATGGGGCCACTGAAAAAATGAACTCTGTGCTTAAGCAATATTTAAGATGTTTTCTTAGTTTCCAGCAGACTGAGTGGGCGGATTTACTCCCTTTTGCAGAAGTTGTCTACAGTAATGCAGTCCACTCCAGCACAGGTTACACTCCTTTTCAAATAGCCACCGGTCAAAGTTTCAACCCCATGCCAGAATTAACCCCAAACGAACCAACGATCCCATCACTGAAAGAATGGATGGAAAAACTACAAAACACCTGGCCAATAGTTAGAAAAGCACTAGATGAAGCTAGGCAGGCATACAAAGCATAAGCCGATAAAAAAAGGGTTGAGCCTACACCATTCATTATAGGAGAGATGGTGTACTTATCTACAAAATGCCTAAAGTCCCTACAGCCCTGTAAAAAACTTGGACCAAAATACATAGGACCTTTTCCAATCAAAAGAATCATAAATCCAGTAACAGTAGAATTAGAATTACCAAAAAATCTCAAGCAAATACACCCAATTTTTCATTGCAGCTTGCTGAAAAGAGAGCATCAGTCAGCTTTACGACCAAAATTCCCCCCACCACCACCTCCAATCATGGTAGAGGGCGAACAACACTTCGAAATAAAGGAAATCCTAGACTCTAGGAGATATCATGGAGCGACTCAGTACCTAGTTGCCTGTAAACACCTCCCTGCCTCACAAAACGAGTGGGTCCCTAAACGTCATGTCAGAGCCCCGAAGCTATTAAAGAAGTTTCACACAGAGTATCTTAACAAGCCTGACTAACTTTTACACCTGTTTTGTTTTCTTTCAGGTGTATCTCTCTTATTTTTGAGAGGGCCGGATGTCAGAATCCAATTATATTTCATCTCTAGTTATCAATTATAGAAAACCCCATTTCTGTTTTCTCTGGATTCTGTCATACAAGGAAGGGAAGGGGGTGAACAAAGAGGCTTTATGCCCCTCATTTCCTTCGGTACAACCTCAAAGGGATTGAATGTGGATAGCACCCAAAAGGCCTAATCATAACAAAGGGGGCTATTACCTTTCATATAGTTTTCTCTGAAGTCTCCATCCAGCCGGCAGTAAGGAAAAGAGGTGGGAAATGTAATGCCTGAGACTGTTGCTGGAAGTAGGAGGGGATTGGGTGGGGCTACTGGGAAACACTTTAAAACCTTGAATGGGAGAGCTTGGACCCCAAGTCCTGTCTAGAACACCTGCAACCATTTTCTCTTAATAAAGGATTCCTGTTGGAAGAATTATTCCAAGAGTTCTGTCTTCTTAAGATGCAAAGTGGGGTGAGTGCCCAAATTGCCATCCAGAACCCAATTATTTATCATCGGGTGCCAGTTGGGTGTGGCCACTGGGTGGGCATGGCTGTGGTGGTCATGGCTGACTGGGTGGGTGTGGCCAAGGTGGACATGGTCACCTCGATGTTGCTCATGGGGAGGAATACCTGTGGGGGCCGACCAGGATTGGGGGAGATTCAGGGGGTCCCTGGCAGTGGGACATTGGGCAGGAGGCTCGTCCTGCAGGGTGAGGTGAGACAGGGTGGGGGTGCCATTGTCGCAGGGCAAGGTGACGCAGGGACCGGGGCGGCTGCTGCGTGACACCATCAGCCCCTGCACACATAGGCCAGCGAGCACATGGGGGCCGACAATGTCCGTCAGCAGCCACAGCCTGCCGGCCCCTTGACCGGCACACTCTGGGGCTCTGCAGCCCGCCGCTAGCAGTTGAGAGAAGTCTCCTCTGAGCTGGATGGCCAGCCGATAGCTGAGGAGGTGATGCAGTTGGTCGTGCCCAGGAAAAGGAGAGCATGCAAGGCATGGGACGGGGGGAGGGAAACCAGCCATGCTGGGATGCATCCGGCCACATGGGACTTCGGCGAGTTAGTGGGCGGCTAATTGAAGAGGGACAGTTGCCATTTCCGGGGCATGGCACGCATATCCACAGAGAGGGCTCTGAGTGCCGCCTCTGGCACGCGTGCCATAGGTTCGCCACTACTACTCTATAGTAACCAATTATTTTTTAAGCACTGTATTTTGCAAACTATTGTGTTTATAAATACAGTACTTTGCAAAGATAAAGTTTGTTTGCATTCTCCTTGAAACTCTTGTAGAAATGCTAGCCAGGATCCACACAAAGCATTCTATAACGTTGTGTTTCCTTGCTTTTATTTTGGAGAATTGTGTATATTACTGTAGTTTGTAGGTTTTAAATTTAAATTGCCTCCAGAAGTTTTGGGTGTCCCATCACTGGAAGCTTTTAAGAAGAGACTGAATAGGCATTTATCAGAAATACTCTGTTGTGAGAGCGGTGGGTTAGACTAGATGACCTCAAGGTCCCTTCCATCTCTGGTACTGTTGCAAACCGAGAGTTCTGCAAATTCCTTCCCATCTCTCCCTCTTTGTGTCTGGCTGGAGACTTTTAAGCTAATTAGTGGCATTTTTTTTAAAGCACTTGCTCTGGGCAATTGAAAATGCTTGTGCTAATTAGCAGCAATAGCTGCAAGCCCTCTTTGGAGGCAATTTAATTCCTGAGTCGGCTATATGGGAAAAAGCTGATGGGCAGCTGGTGGAAAAGCCTCTCAGTTCAATTAATGGGGCAGCAATCAATTAACAAATCAGAGGAATAGTAAGTCAGAACATTGCTCATTTAATAACCCATTTGATTCAATTAGTAAATTTGATTTTAAAAATTTGAAAAATTGAGTCTGATCCATTTGACAATATTTTTGACTTATATGCCTAATGGGCAGGCTCCATTAGATTCGTGCCCCGAAGACTACCTGTACACACACACGCTGTGCGTGTGTGCATGTGTGTGTGTGTGTGTGTGTGTGTGTGTGTGTGTGTAGTAATTATGATATATAGTTACTATGGTTTGAAAGTCCTTAAAAAAGTTATTTTATCTTTTCAAAACAGGAAATGAATCTGTGACAATATCCTCAACAGGAACTCTTTTATTCCAACATTTCAAATCTTACATGAGTGGAATTTACACATGTTCCCTAGTGTTTAAGCCTACAACTGAGCAAGAAGAAAAAAGCTATTTAATTAAATACGTTATTTACGGTAAGATGAATAACTGTCCTTTTTTTGTTTTTCAGTGTTTAGGTTTTTTTGTCAGAATTATATAATGAAATTCACTACATAGTTAAACGTTGCTGCAATTAATCTGTAACCAGCTAAATCAGAACAATTGGTATTTAAATATCCTTGGTACAGAATATATATATATCGATTTTCCTATAGTCTTTTTCTTCTTTTAAAAAGGTAGCAAGCTCTAAGTAAGTAGAAAAATAACATCTAATTAATAGCTGGAATATTGGGGGTAAGCAGAATATTCAGCTTAAGGTCACGTTTAAACTACTTGGAATAAAACTGAATTCCAGAATTTTGTCTCAAGCTTTAAAAAAAGCATCCTGTGATCCAGAGTTTTCTCTCAAGTTTGGATTAAAGTGAGGTAATTTCTTCTGTATTTGAAAATGTTTCAATATTCTGTGGTTGGTTTTATTAAAACATTCGTTGAAGCCATGACCTTAAAACAGTGGTTCTCATCCTGTGGGTCGGGACCCCATTTGGGGTCGAACAACCATTTCACAGGGGTCACCAAACAACGCAGTCCGCCATTTTTTCCCCCTTTTCCTTAGCTGTGCTACTCCCTTTTATTCTATTGGCTTTTGAAAGCCAATAGAATAGACTCTCTTGAATAGAGTCTAATTCTATTGGCTTTCAAAAGCCAATAGGAATTGTGCAGGCTGTCTCTGCCCTACTGAGCCCACCAAAAGTCCCATTCTGCAAACGGTGCTGCAAGTTGTCTGCAGCGAAGGCGAGCTGTCTGGAAGTTTCCACCCCTCCCTGCTGAGCAACTACTAAAAATGTAAGTATAAGAGGGTCAGGGGTGGGAGGTGGGAGGCCGGCGGGCGCAGGGAGGGTTGCTGGCACACTTGGGGCCCGGCGGGTTCCTTATCTCCCTTGGGCTGGGCCAGCTGGTGGCCCAGCCGGTGGTCAGCCTGCGCCGTCTCTGCCACTTGCCAGCTACACCTCGGCTGGTGCAGGGGGCGGCACCACGCATGCGCAGCGCTCCTGGGCAGGAAAAGTCCTCGACTTACGACCGGTTGGTTAGTCCTTGACTTACGACCGGTTGGGGGTTGCGGCATTAAAAAGGTTAAGAACCACTGTACTAGAGGGAATTAACCATTACAGTTGAAAGAGAAGAACTGTAAGGACCCACCTCACTTTACATCTTAAGAAGACAGAACTCTTGGAATATTTCTTCCAACAGGCATCTTTATTAAGAGAAGATGATGGCAGGCGTGCTAGACAGGATCTGAGAAATTCTCTCCCATCATTCAATGTTTTAAGCGTTCCCACCCCACAGTTCTTCCAGGCGACGATCCTTGTCCCCCCCCACTTTTTCCTTACTGCCAGCAAAAGGGAGACTTCAGAGTAGATGAAAGGCGATAGCCATATTGTTATGGTCAGTCCTCTTGGTGAGAATCAACATCCAGTCCTTTTGAAGTTTTAATGAAGGAAGTGAGAGCCATAAAACCCCCCTGCTTATCCCCCTTCCCCTTCGTAGTATGACAGAATCCAGAGAGAGCAGAAATGGGTTTTTCCCAGAGTAGATAACTAGAAATGAAATATAATTGGATTCTGACAAGAACACTGTAACATAATTTCAGATTGAAGCAAAATACTGTAACATGGGACATACTGAAAGAGGGTTTTTTGAATAATGGATCCAGAAGATAATTTATATAGCTGTCAGAAGAAAAAGAAGGAATATAAAGTTGGTTTATTTGATCAAATTTGAAATAGATCAGTGGTTCTCAACCTGTGGGTCGGGACCCCATTTGGGTTCGAACGACTATTTCGACACGGGGGTCGCCAAACTAAGGCTGTCCGCCATTTTTTCCCCTTTTCTTTGGCCACAACCCTGGCACCCAGTGATGTATAAGTGGTTGGGGGTCACCACAACATGGGGAACTGTATTATGGGGTCGCGGCATTAGAAAGGTTGAGAACCACTGAAATAGATATATTGCTATCTACAGTGACCCTAAATGAACTCCTGCTGAGATCAGGACTGAAATGTTTTATGGATTTGTTTATAGAAAAGAAATTATTTGTTGCATTATAAAAGAAAGTGACAGTTTACTAAAATTGCTTATACTTGTTGTGACGAAGGTTGGAAATAATTTTTTATATGTTTGTCTTTTTATATTATAATCTTATTTTTCTTTTGTATTTCTCTATTTGTTTTATGCATCTTCTAACTCTATTTTTTCAGCATGTAGTAGTTTTTGCTGTTGAAATTATACTTTTTAATAAATGTTATATATGCAATATATGAATTGTGTGAATGTGCTGTTTGTAGTTATTTTATCTATATTTGCTTCTTTTCTCTATTTTAATTTGAAAATAATGGTCTTGTTTTAATGGGGTATGCTACTATTAATATATACTAATGTGGCAGTCCCCCTAAGCCCTTTTTGAATCATATGAATCTTTTTCTATGAAACAATAGTCACTTATTGACTGATTAATCTTGTGACCTTATCAATAAAATAAAATAAAAAGTCTAATTCCAGAAAAAAGTAGATAGGAAATACAGTGATAAAATACATATGTAGTCATAGTCAGTAATCAGATGAATCTCCCTTACAGGGCACATCAGTTTGTTTAGTGTACCAGGTTCTTGGAACCATTGCCTTAGTTATAAACTTAGCAATTTTACATAAATATGTACTTCTGATCTCGGGAAGAAACATGACACTCTATGGTTCAGGTCCCAATGCGCTGTTCTTTCCAATAAGCCTAGTGGGGGCATAGTTGAATAAACAATGAGAAATATTTTCAATGGCTAGGGTACTGCATATAAAGGTTATCTCATAATATGGGAAGTGGTGGAAACACCCATATTTGGCCATGGACTCCAGCAACTCAAATTTTGCTCTGGGATAAGCCTTTCTTAAAAGCCTTTCACTGACAGGTATTTTTCAGGTTGAAAAGTACTTTTATTTTAGTCAGCCAACTTACTTCCATGACTAAATGTATTTTTTTTCAATTTTGATCCGCCTACTTTTAAGCCAGTAATTTTACTAATATAGATGATAATAAAAAATAAAAAAAATTAAATATCTAGATCTCAACTTCAAGAATGCATGAGTTATTTTTAATCATGAAATCATTACTCTTGTGATTTTTGAACAATGAATAGTATTTTAATAATGGTTGGATAAAATTTTATCTGCTGTTCAAAAGAAAAAGATCCCACAGGAGAATTCTAACTACTTGATTATACCTAAAATAGCAGCTTAGTTTCCGAGTATAATATTCTAGGAGATGATATTTTTTTCCTTTGGTGCAATTAATTCTTGTTTAAAAAATAAATTCAGTAATTTTAAATCTTAATCTTGGTATCTTGGTTTTGTTTGAATCTAAACTTTTTTTTCTGCAGCTTATTCTGATCCTAACTTTTACTATGAGTTTACAGCACGATATCATTCAGCTCCCTGCAATAGTATCTATAATACTTCTTTTGAAAAGAAGCTGCTTCAGATACTGGCCAAGCTTGTTGTGGAGCTAGCTTGTGAGGTTTCACTACAAAAATCTGAATGCCATCATGTAAAAATGCAAAGAGCTGGAATGCAAAATGAGCTATTCTTCACTTTTAAAGGTAAGACTAGTGTGAAGAGTTGTTTTGAAGAGTTGTTCTTTGTTGCATGTTTTTCATGATATATTGAAAACTATTTTTGTCCCATACATTAAAGGTGTATCTGACAGAAGTAATGTAAAAGTAATTGAGATGTTAATTGATAATGTGCAATGAAATAATTTGACAGCTTGCTGATTTAGTAAATGACCAGATCATTTTAATTATATATTAAGAAAGTATATTATGATTGAAATAATGATTTCAGCAGAGTCCTGTTTTCTTTGATTTTGTAGATATTTGCAATAATAAAACATAATTCAGTATTACAAGTAATCTCCAAATTGCGAGCGTTCCCTTATCGAACATTTGAAGTTATGCGATAAGAGCCTCCTAGTGCTTACGAGACAGTCCCGAAATTACAAATGTTGCTGCACCACGGCAGTCATTCACCCTTACGAATGACCACAGTGGCACTGTAACATTCACCCTGGCTATTCCCTCCCTCCTACCACCCCAGGTCACCCTAGGCAGTAGGCCTTGCGAAGATTGAGATCCTTTGCTTTCTTGGCTGCTCCAGCCCGTCAGTGTGTTCGCAGACAATGGAGGCCTAAAATAACGCAAGATCACATGACATCAGTAGCACGAGATCTCATGCTATTAATCTCAGGTGATCACATGGTACTTTAAGCCTCTGTTCTCTGCAATAGAGAATGGAACCGAAGCTGGGAGCACTTCCCTGTGCCTCTGAAGGCCTGATCTGGGCATTGGAGGGCTTTTCCAGGCTGCTGCTGCCCAGAAATAAGGCTGAGGGATGCTTCAGCATGCCTCCAGAAGCCCAATCCAGGCGTCTGAGGCCTCCTCCAGGCCTCTGAGGCCCAGAACAGACTTCTGGAAATGGTGTCCAAGTACTTGTGCAGGTCCATTCTGGGCCTAGAAGGCCTCCTATGCACCTCCCAGGTCCAGAAGGTAGCCGGGGAGAGGCCTTTGCATGCCTCTGCAGGTCTATTCTGGGCTTGGGAGGCCTCCCAGGCTCAGAACTGACTTCCACGCACTTCTGCAGGTCTGTTCTGGGCCTGGGAGGCCTCCTACAGGCCTCTGAGGCCCAGAATAGAGGCCGTGGGTGGCGGCCACGTACTTCTGGAGGTCTGTTCTTGGTCTCGGAGATTTCCCTCTGCTCTTGCTGGGAGGAGAGAAAGAAACAGAGAGGCTGGAGAGGAGACAGATCTTCACAAAGCGTGGCAGGATTGGGTGGGGGAGCAATTGTGGGGACCCCAGGGGAGGGAGCATAAGGTATCTCACTGGGAGGAGTTTGTGTGGTCTGAAGCAGGTAGCCTGTGTCATCACTAGACCCCCATGACCTTTCCCATCCTGAGATACCTCATGTTCACTTAACGAGCCATGCATTTGATTAGTGAAAGCTGGGAGTGAACCTCGTACAAGTTACGAGATTCACTCTTACGAATCCTTGAGTTATGAATGGACTGGGCAGGCTCCATTATATTCATAACTGGAGGACTACCTGTACTTAATAATGGAACACTAGTTCTCTAAAATATTGATGTATTTAGTAGACAATGAATATGCACAGATTTATTACTGAACATATTGTAAGCCATTAACATATTTATTGTGGTATAAACTTCTTTGGATTAGAGTCCATCATCAAATCTGTGAAATTTGAAGGTTGCACGGAGTTAAGTTGGTAAATACACATTTCAAAAGGTATAGGCTTTGACAGCCTGGAGATGAAATACAAGTGATTCTCATTATTGGCCGGGGTTCCATTTAGATCTATTAACAGCAGATAAGATTTTGAAAAAAATATATTTGACCCACCCAGGAAATCATATTTTGTAGGGTAATAAAATTGTGGCAGTGATGACAAATACGATTATTCATATAAGCAATAAATATATTTTGTGGTCTTTATATAACTACACATTCTCTTGTTCTTTTAGTCTCAATCTTAACTCCTTTGTACCATGTCAAGTCATATCTTTGATCTGTTTAGTCCAATAGTTTGTGCTGGACAATAGGATTCTCTTCTTTAAAAAGAGGTCTTAATATTCAGCTTAAAAACTTTGACTTCTAATTTATATATTCTATGTCAGAGGTCTAAATACACCACATACTTTTAAAAGATAGTTCATTGCATCACTTACATATACACCGAGTAGAGAGTAAAATTTGATGATGCAGTGTACTTTTCAATGATATGTGTAAGAGGATTAAATTCCTTAATCAATTATTTAAAAATATACTGTTAAATAAATGCCATAGTGGCTGAGAACACATTAGTGACCTCAGCAGTTCTCAAAAATTTAAGTGGCATGGACCAAATTAGTACTTAGATGGGGAAACGTCCAGAAAATCTAGCATTGCAGAGTAAAGTGTGATATTGAAAAGTACTTTTGAAGATTGCATTGACATACTACTTACCAAATGTTGCCAAGAAACTGATATAGATATCTTGTCAGGAGGAGTTGAAGTTGACTCAAAGGAGTCTTTTATCCTTTAAATTCATAGTTAATCTCCTTTAGAAAACAAGACTATGTGTACTGTATAGTTTCCCTCATATAGCTGAACATTTTTACAGTTTCTTCTCTAGAAGCAGTAAAAGGCAAAAGTATGTGTCAGAAAAATGTATGTGATGTATCAAGAAGATTACGAAAGGTAATATAAATTCTTCAGAAAAGAAATGAAGTTCACAAGAATGTAACTTGTTTCTTGTTTATCTTTCAAAAAGTAAATAGCTTTAATATTCTTTTTGTGTAAGTTGTAAAATAAAGATTGAGTTAAAAAGAATGATAATGTAGTTTATTATCAAAAAATATGGGGTGAAATAAGAGAGAGGTTCATACAGCAAGTTCAATTCCTTAGTTTTTGTCAAATTAACAACACTAAAGAATTAAACCTCATTTCAAAAAGAGTGATCAATATACAAAATATTAAATTTTGTTCCAACTTGGTGATGGTTATGCATACATACTGTTGGTTTGATCTGTAAAAATTGTGGACATCCATTTATAAAAGAATATAAAATTCTGCTTTAGTATATTAACAACCTCTGTCCCTGAATATTTACTTCTTTTAGTAAAGTAGAAATGGATTACAATAGCAAGTGGAGAAAACTATGGAAATTGAGCCAGTGGTCACTTTACTCCCTTAGGATCTCTAGCTGAGATGGTATGCTTTTATCAATGCTGTGTGATATCTGACCAGTTTAGTAAGGCACCCAAGAAAGGCTATTCTATTGATTCTTTGCAATCCTGGCGAGTGGGCCCTTATAATCCAGATTCTTTATCTTTCATTACCAAGGTTGGGAGAGGAATAAATACCCACCTGAGAAAACTATGATGCAAGTTATAATTCAAGTCAATATTTCCTTATAAAGCTCTTATGCCTACTAAGGCATGACAATTCTTTGCTATCACTGCTATTCATGTTGGCTAAAGAAGGGAGCCCACAGAATGGAAATTTGAGAGTCTAGAAGCTTGGGTGGAGTACTTCAAGGAAAACTTTCAGCTTTGGTATATTTTTGGCCCCAAAGAAGGAAAAATATGATAGAAAAATTGAATAGGAGCCCATAGCAGTGTAAAACAATTATCCCAAGAATTACCATAACTGAAAAAAATTATTTCAGTTCAGAAGACTAACATTTTCTTATTTGTGAGAGTTAAAAATCTTTCCATTGTTAACATAGAATACTTATCCCTGTAAAAAGTGAAAAGAAAAAAAAAGAAATGTAAATACTCTTCATTTAAGCCCAAAGGAGTATGTTCATTCAGCTTCCCAATTACTATTGTTTTTTTTTAATCTATGCTGCCCAGAATACATGGTTTTCCTTCTTTCATAAAGTGACTAAAGAAGTGGATCAAGGAAATACTGTGAATATAGTATACTTAGTAAGAATTGGGGGTCTGAATATACTATAAGTATAAGACATTTGACAAAGTAGACCACAACCTATTTCTTGGTAAGATAGAACAATGTGGGATAATACATCACCAGATGGATTCACAATTACTGACAACAGACACTCCACATCTGGTCTTCAATGGAACTACAACTATGTGGAGGTAAGCATGCAGTAGGGTACTTCATGTTCTGCCTTGGGCCCAGTGTTCGTTCCCATCTGTATAAATGGTGTAGGTGACCAGATAGAAGGGGAACTTACAAAATTTACAGATGACACCAACCTGGAGGGAATTGCTAATACTTTTAGAAGATACGCTCAAGATTCAGAAGGATCCTGACAGATTTGAGCAATAAGCCCTATCCAATAAGACGCAATTTGGTTATGAGAAAAGGTCCTGAAAAAACAAATGCTCAGGAATAGAATAGGTAGTACCTGGTTCAACAGTAATAACTGTGAGAGAGATTTAGTTGTCCTAGAGGATTATCACTTGAATATGAGCCAACAGCTTCCAAAAAACCAATGCAGTCCTAAGCTACATCAACAGGGATAGTATCAAGATCACAAAAAGTGATAATACTGCTCTGTATTGCACCTAGGCCACACTGGTGTGAGCTGTCCAGTTCTTGTCACAAAAAAAGATGCTGAGATCCTAAAAAGAGTACAGAGAAGAGCAACAAAGATGATAAGAGGTCTGGAGGTACCTCTTACATATATGATGAATGATTAAGGGAAATAAGTATGTCTAGTTTAATGAAGAGGAAGATTGGTGTCAGACCTGCCCCAAATCTAACTCTAGAAAAGAATAACCCTAGACTCCAGTTGGTTGAAGTAATAAATACTTTAACTAGAAGAATGGTTGCAAGGCAAGTAAGGTGGGATCTGAAGAATTCCCATGCAAAGCACCAAATTTTTCCTTCCCTCCTGGTCCACCTCCCTTGAGCCAGTCACCAGTGTCCAATAGCAAGTCGTTTGGATGTTTTGGGAATTCTTTGATGGTGGGCAGTCCATCTGCTCATTCTCAGGCCAGTTGTCCTTGAAGTCTGGAGCAAACTGGTACAAGCACTTGGTTATTCTCACTCCTGTCAATTTCCCCCTCCCTCCTGGCTCCTTTCTTACATTCTCACCCTGGTTGTAACCCACATTCCATAACCCCCTCCCACTTGTACTTTGATGTCAGGATTCCAGCAGAAGCATGGTCTGAGGTGCTGAAGTTGGCAGACCTGACATTCGCTGACATGTAGATGTCAGCCTGGTTTGTCTGGGTATTTGGAATGGATTTTTTTCAGCAAGCGTAGGGCGTTGACATGGTGGCATCTACCCATTCAATTTCTAATGGGGGAAGATGCTTCCAAACAACGAGATATTGGGTTTTCCCTCTATGTGTGCAAGAGTATAGAATGTCCTTAATTTCAAAATATTGTTCACCTTCATTGAGGATAGGAGTGGAAGTATTGCTTCAGTAGGGCACAATAGAGAGGTACTTATAGACTTAAGCAAGTTGCAATGAAACACCGGGTGAATGCGCCTTAACAATTAAGGTAATTCTAGTTGGAAAATGACTAGGTTGATCATTTTATTTATTGGAAAAGGGCTGATGTATTTAGGACCCAGTTTTTTGGAGGGCTGTCTTGACTGAAGATACTTAGTGGATAGGGCTCCTATTTTAAATTCTTAAATTCTGTGTCACCTAATGTTTATAAACCACCAGCCAGGTGTTTTGAATTTGGGTTACTCATTCTGCCAGGGAGGTTGTGTAAGATTGAGGTAACTTGGGCATGGCTACAAAGTCTTGGCCAGAAGCCACTTTGAACGGTGTAAAGCTGGTGCTGCTGTGGACGGAATTGTTGTAATTTCTATAAAGGGAAGCAGATCAATCCAATTGTGTAATTGACACAGCACCTGAGGTATGTGTCTAATACAGAATTTGTAAGTTCACAGGATCCATTAGTGTCCGGATGATGGGAGGAGCTAAATCCCTGGGAGATTCCTAAGAGTTTAAGGAACTCTCGAGAGAACCAAGAGGTAAATTAAACTCCCTGATTTGAGATAATGCATTCAGGGACACCATTTAAGTGGTAGATGTGCTGAATAAACAGTTTAAACAGCATGCACACTGAAAGGATTTTGTGACAAGGCATGGTGCACTTGTTTAGAGCAGAGGTCAGTTATCAGCCAATTGACAGTTTTTTCCAGTGCTTTCAGGGAGTTCGACTATAAAGTCCATGGATATTTCTTTCCATGGGGGTTTAGTGTTTAACTACTGCTTGGAGGAGTTCTTGTTTTTTCCCCTGGCACTGTTTTGCTGTAGCACACATGGGGCAGCTGGTTACATAATTTTAAAAGTCCTTTTTAAAAGATGGCCACCAGAACTGGCGCTTTACCATGTGTAAAATTTTTATGAACCCAAAATGACCTGCTGTTTTAGAGTCATGGTTCTTTTGAAACAGTTATTTGTTGGCTTTCGGGGATGTATACCATTGCAAATCCATCAAGCATTGTGCATTCCATTTTATGGTCCCTAAACCTCAGATCTGAACTTAGAAACTCTTTTAAGGAAGTAAGTAAGTCTTTCGCCAGGGAGAAGAGAGTTTCCCTGCCCTTCAGGTGATTGCTGGAGCTGCTAGTTGTTTTGAGGGAATCACCACTCAGACTATTTCTTTTCATTATTGTACTGGGCTAGCCTGGATAGGGCATCTGCCAGGAAATTTTTCTCTCTCAGGAGGTTTCGTAAGATAAAGTTGAATCGATTAAAATATTGGCCCCACCAGACCTGTTTAGGTGATAGTCTCTGGGGTCTTTAGTGCCTTTAGATGCTTATGGTAAGTTCAGACCGCAAATGAGATTTTGCTCCCTTCTAAGAAATGCTTCCAACTAAGCAGCTTCCACCAGACTGCATATGCCTCTTTTTTCCCATACTTACCACCTGCACTTGGTTTCAGTAAGTTTTTTGGAGGTATAGGCACAAAGCTGAAGGATTCCTTGATCATTTTTTCTGTAGCAGCCCAGCCCCACCACCATGTCACTGACATCTGCCTAAATGATGAATGGGAAGTGGGATCGGAGTGCTTTAGCACAGGCTCAGCCACAAACATGTGTTTGAGTTTTTCAAAAGTAGCTTTACTTTCCATTGACCATTTAAGAGATTGGCTGCCCTTTGGTTTCCCTCCCCTTTGGTCTTTAGCAAGTTTGTTATGGGTAGGGCTGTTTGTGCGAATGCAGGAATGAATTGGCTTTAAAAGTTGGCGAACCCTAGGAAGCTTTGAAATTGCTTTCTGATGCAAGGAGGGGCCTAATATAAGACTGCTTGGACTTTTGCAGGGCCCATTTTGATCTCCTTGTGGATGATGTGATACCCTAGATCAGTGATGGCAAACCTTTTAGAGACCTGGTGCCCAAACTGCAACCCAAAACCCACTTATTTACCACCAGGTGCCAGGTGGGCGTGGCCACGGGCATCATGGCAGACTGGGTGGGCAGGGCCAGGGTAGTGGGGGACAGTTCTTTGCCATCTCCAGGGCACAGCACACGTGCCCACAGAGAGGATTCTGGCACACGTGCTATAGGTTCGCCACTACTGCCCTAGATCAGCGATGGTGAACCTTTTAGAGACTGAGTGCCCAAACTGCAACCCAAAACCCACTTATGTATCATCAGGTGCTGGGTGGGTGTGGCCCATTGGGTGGGTGTGTCACATAGCTAGGTGCGGCCCATTGGGTGGGACTAAAATGTTCAATCAATGAATTCCAACTTTGCG